TAGAACAAAGCTAACCATACAGCACTATTAAAACAATTTTAATTGGCTCATGGAGAGATTAATTCCAAGGACCTAATCTCATTGTTGTTGTATAATCAACTCAGCTAACCAAAACCATACTGACAATAAAGTCCAGGCAAAATTATAACCTGTGAAAATGCCACATTCTCAGCATATACTTCAGCCCTTAGCTCTGTAGATGTGAACCACCTAGATAAAGATAAGAGCAGAATTTCCAGTGCCTCCAATATCACCCTTATCAAAGTAAATGCCTCTTGGTCACTCCAGTGTGCAGTGCTCTGACCAGAATACATGCTTCTTACACCAAAGGCCAGGACCATGATGGGAGATGCCTCTTCTCTTCAAAGAGGGATCTGATGACAGGAGCCAATCCCTAAAGGGAAGTTTCTTCCTGGATCCTATCTCAGAGGCCAATATTTTACTTTTTCTCAGGGTTCTCTCTCAACTCTCATCTTTTCCTTGCACTGGAAAACTCTGTTATGACTGTCTCCTTCTTTGTACACATATGGTACTTTTATATGGACTTATAGCCTACACCATAACAATGTAGTCTCTCTGACAGAGGACTCTGTATCTTAGACTTTTATATTCTTCACTTTACTTAGCAGAGGGTTAGGCATGCCCTAAGCGCTCAGTTCATATACATTCATTTGCAAAGACAAGAATACATAGAATAAGCACATATAGGTAGAGCCTTAGCTTTACTTCTAATATCTATCTCATGAGCAACTCTCACCATCAATGGTCATAGTCTCCTCTGCTACTGAATATATGGTCAAAGCAAGGATAATAAGGTTGGAGTCTAATAAATCTGGACACCTAAGAATTCCAAAACATGCCACCCCAGATTTTTATTTACAATCCAACAGGAACCCCAAAAGCTTAAGTAGGAATATGGTCATTAAACATTAACTTCACAGAAATAACTAAATTTTGTCTCAGAACATAAAGGTATGTCAGGTCTTTAAATATAACTCAGTGGAGCTGAGTCCAAAAACTTAGGAGGTACCAGTAAGATCTAACTGAAGGTAGTTTTGCTTCCCAACCAACTACCTAAATGCTAGATTTCACAAATGTGAAATTACATATGTCATCAGAATTTGTACCAGATTTCTAAGTTTCAGTGAAATGCTAAGTCCAGGAAGTTTCCACATGCATCCTGTCAGTCACTGTCCAAGTGTTATTCATATGTTACGTTTAATCCTTGTAAGAGCTCTGAGGAAATTATTATTATACTCCTTTTACAGATCAGAAAATGGAGGCTCAGCAGGATTAACTTTCTCAAAGTCAGCTATTATGATTTCCATTGTAATTAAGCTGTTTATGAGCAGAGAAAGCTAAAACTTTTCTTATACAAACAATGTTTTCCACAAACAAAAATTTATTTTAAAGTGGCATTTCTATGGATAAGACTGTTCATCAAAGATGAAGCTATTATTCTCAGTTCTAGTTCTAGCACTTTTATATCTATGCATATATGGCAAATGATTGCCTACCAGGTGTCAGGGTAAGATTGCATCAAAACCAAGGATCTTTAGGAAGTTTTGCAAGTGGCACAGTAAGGAGAGTGAAACCTAGGCTTCTGGTATCAAGGTGACTGCTCTTTTCCTATACAACTCTACAAATCTTCACTCTCTCAGTCCTTCCCCTCTTTTCACCCCTCATCATTAAGTCATTAATAACACTAAGTGAACATGTTTATCAAATTTGTGTCTCTTATTTTCTTTGATAATAGGGCCAGTATGTGGGGTTGTCATCTTTGAAGGAGAAGGGAAAATCAAATAGAGACAGGTTTCTGAGGGGGGCCCTCCCATTCCCTAAGGGACAACCTTTACAAGTCATTTGGGAACCTAACTTGATTTGCCTTACTTGACCTTTTTCTTCTTTAAACCATGAAAGTCTCACATGTATTACCTAAGCCAGTCTGACTTAGTGCTCTTCATTCAATCACAATCACAGCCGAAAAAGAACAACTGGAATTTGGAACTCTGTTATTTGCTGAATTGATTAGAATCAACTCTAAATCACTTGATATAAGAAACACTAAGATTTGGATATATTCTGTAAGTCTAGACAAGACATTTTTTCTATAAATTAGAGGAAGTAAAAATTTTCTCCTGAAAAATGAATTAAAGCAATTAGACTATTCATAAACAAAATCTTAAATGTTTGAATTTAACTTCCATGCATGCATCTTTATTAGATTTTTAATCATTTAGGAATGAAGCCTAATTAGATACCATTTTTGCAGTGGGGGAAGTATTTTGGAGGTGGAAAGAATCAGCTTCTTTGGGCAGAACTGGGGTTATATCTTAAGTTATCAGCTGACTAGCCTGAAACAACTTCTTCATATCTTTGGGCTTCAGTTTCCTCATTTATAAAAGTAAGATCATAGTCCTTGCAACATAGATTGCTGTAAAGATTAAATGGAAAATGTACAAGAAATGACCTATTTTCATGTCTGGTACACAGTGACATTAAATAAATGTTAGTTCATTTCCCCTCTACTTGTACAGAAAGTAATTTCTACGGGTTTTTTATTGGATCCTGTACTTTTCTGGGTTTAGAAAATCCCCAAAAATGTATGGTTATGGCTAACAGAACTAAAATAATAATTCTTAAAGTGGAAGGCTTGGAAGCGTGAGTCATCTGAAAAAAAGAATATTCCTTATTATAGTAAACATATTTGGGAATCAAAATCATTGTTCCTATAATACAAACTGTTGAAAGTACAGGTCTATAAAATCTTTGTAGCTGTTGAACACATAGTACTCAGAAAATGTCAATGTAATGGGTAGGTTTTTCTAGGAGTCTGGGGTCTGGTTCCTAGGGAAGCAAGTCCACGATAACCTTGTAGTGACATTTTTAGGTTTCTCAAAGGGAACTTTGGTTTTGAAAGATTGAGAAATAGTGATTAGGTGACAATGTCATTGTGGAAATCAGATTTCAGAGCTATTTCCCTTGTTTGTTGTTTGTATTTTTCATTAAAAAAAGGAAATTGCTTACAAAAAAAACTTGCCTGTGGTCTAAAAGTTGAATTCTCATGACAATATTATTCTGTAAGAAATATAATGGCCCTTGACAAAGTTTACTGGGTTCCATTTATGATCTAGGTTATATTTCCAGAAAGTCTTCTCTAGTTAGATTTTCATGCTATGGCCTTATTATTTACCACTTAATGATATACAACTCTTCTCAGGTACCTAGGAGCCTAGAGTCAAGTCATTGCGTTGTTACGAAGGAAAGTAAAGACCATCAATTCTAAGCTCTCCCACCTAATTACAGGTGAGAATATTGAGACCTACCAAAATAAAACTTGCCAAAGGCCACACAGTGAATCATTAGCAAAACTTGAACTAGGACCAAAACTTTTTGATTCTGTGTTTATTGATCCATCTGCTTCATTACTCTGTCTGTGATACATGGAAACCAATGCTAGATAAAAATTTCCTTGCAAAATATTCTGGCCTGGATGTAAGTAGACTTCTTGACCAAAAGTTTTACAATAAAGCACAGACTACCTACCGGTCATTGTCCTGACTATTGGAACTCTTAGAGTGGTTTCACAACAGACAGCTCTGTCCTCTTTGCTCAAGCTGTGGCTGAAGTGTAGAGACTGCCCTGCCTATTAAGATATCAGTTGACCTACCTCAAACACAACTGGCCATGAAAAGCCGCCCCAAATCACCCAGAAGTATGCTCACTCATTTTTTAGTCTTATGCTCTACCACTGCCAGGGTTTGAACAATCTGTACAAAATGAACTCAATGACTTTCCCAGTTAAGTAAGCTTCATTAGGAACTGCTTTTAACAAAAAAGGACCTGTGTTCAACCTTTGTGTGCAAAGACAATTACCCTGAATGCATTACCTGATTCTTGTACAGTTCAGGCCATTTCCCACCTCAGTATACCAGCATACCACCTATTTTAGCAGTGAATAATTTTACTGTGTCACAATTACTAAGTGATAAACTCCTCAATTAATAGAAATGACAGTGACATCCTGCATCCATTTAAGCAATCAAAATAAAAATTTCCCCACTGGCAGGATCTTTGGGACTGTGACTACTCTCCACCAAAATTACAACAAAGCTTATTATTTCACTAAGAATCATCTTGATACCAAGAAGCATAGCACAGTCCACCTTTAAGGACTCCCCAACAGAAGTTTCCTTTTGACTCAGTCATCTTGGCTCAGAACCAGAGAGGTTGCTAGCACTCAGAGTAATAAGAACAAAAATCACTTGAAAGATACGTGCCTCTTAAGGGCTCTGCTATCCAGTAGGGCTAAACTTGGGTCAACAAAGCAACTTATAAAAGATCAAGAAACACCTCTGAAAACACTCTTAAATCATTTGTCTTTACTTTTACATTTGTCTGAAATCAAGTGTCTTTGCTTCACTGGCTCTCAGTTTCCCCATCTGTATTGTGGTGGATTTGAATCTCTAAGAGCTCTTTCAACTCCAAAATCTATGATCTGATTCCTTCTATCCTCAAAGAACTTACTGTCTCTGTATATGTGGAAACTAAACTTACCAAAGCAAGAAGCTTATACACAAACTTTTCCTTCATTATGAAACCAGATAAATTATAGAGAGCAAAAATTCAAATACTCTTTTTCTGGCTGTATATGCCAACTTGTCCCAATGAGTCTCACAAACACAGTTTTCTTAACATTTTGTGCTCTCTTCCCTGGTGATGGAGAAACAAAGAGCCCTCATAAAAGAGTGAGCTGCGTCACATAATCCATGCACCTTGAGTAATGGTGGGGACTGATGGCATTAACTGACTTTGTTGTACTCTAGTTAGACTCAAGGGCAATCACCATTGATCCCGCTGTAAGAAGTCTGAAATGAGAAACCAGGGACCATTTTCAATTTGAACAATGGTCCCACATCTTCCTCTATCCTGGATCTTCATGCCCCCACCAATCTTCCCACATGGAACCACCAATTCCCAGATACTAGGCTGTAACTTACCCTGGAGCTTTGTCAGGATTAGCACTCTTGTTTCTTTGCAGGGAGCTGAGGGTGAAAAAGCCTGACTCTGGGTGGCACAGATCCTGCTGATAACTGAAAAATATGTTGTTGAAAGAGGAAGTTGAGTTCATTTGGTGTCTCACCACAGAAACCTTATTTGCACAAACCAAAGGTAAGTCCCTTGAGCAGATGATGGTACTCAAGTTTTATTTCATTTGTACAGAGAAATTTGGACTTTAGAGACAAAGTCTGTGCAAAATCAAATGATAACTGCATACTAGCTTTCCTTTCTGTTCTTCACCCTATCTCCTTCCACCAAAACTCACATGTCTATCTGTCTCACTAGAATCTCCATGGCAAGATAGGATTTTGAGGCAAAATATGAAGAGAGTTTACTTTAGAACAAGAAAGTTGCAACTCCTTCAAGCCTGAGGTCATAGGGTGAGGAAACCTCAAAAATATGTCAGAACTAAGAGCAGTAGAACCATTTTTGCTACACTCTTCTTTCCATATGGCGTGCTCTTCCCTCAACCTCTCATCCCAAAGCTCATAATTTAATGTGTAGTTTAGTTATCTTTGTTGACGGTTTATCCTCTGTGTATACTGCAAACTGATTGAGGGCAAAAATCATGTCTGACTCATCTCTGTATTCCCAGTTAGTCTAGCACAAAGACTTTTTGTGTTTGTTAAATGAATAAGTGAGCTAATGAATGATAAAACTAAATGTTCAAATAATGCATGAATAAATAAATAAATAGTGCTGATTACAGAGTCTCTCTCCAGTGTACTAAGATTTTGATCTTCACGTATAATGTTTATGGGACCTTATAAGTGTGCAAATAAAGGGAAAAAATATACACCTGGGGATTATAGTGTTGGCCAAGTCTGAAAATAGTTATGAAACAAACAAAGCTTGAAAAGCATACAAACCTCTGTGGGCATGTAAGGGAACCACATTCAGAACCCAGGGCCAAGAGCTGCAAAGAGCCTTCCGGGTAATAACCATAGCAAAGGGAAAACAAGAAAGTACAATGGGTTAGGTTGAACAGTAGCATTTTAATTTGTGGATTAAACTAATTAAAAAAGAAAGTGGATGACAACATTTTTGTAGGAGGGCAACCTAAATCTGCAACAAGCTCTCCTTATAAAACCAGAACCATTCAAAAACTATATGAAGCCATGCCTAACACTCAGAGATTTCTAATACAAATTTCAAGGTTACCAAGAGTTGGAAAAGACAAACTTTCAGCACTAGAAACTAAGAATTTGAACTGCTTTATGAAAAGACCATGACTTGTGAGGACTGGCAAAGGGAAAGGATACTCATCCTGGCTGAGGTATATCAAATGAAATACACTTGACCTTGCAATTCTCTTCTTAATTCTGACTTCATATATTTATCCAGCTTGAATCTGTTGTCAATTTAGTTTTCTGACTTGACCCCTTCCTAAAAGGAGAATACACTGACAGTCCAACACACATTTCAGTCCACTTGGCAGTTCTGTTCCTTACTCTAAGTTATTAAATTCTCATAAAAATACATCCTTTGTGAGTTTGGGCCCACTGTGAGCCAGTTTTCTTAGGGTATGATTATTTTCTGGACAAAGAAATTTCCAGACTTGTTGAGCTTTAAAGCCAAACCCTGAGACAGAAGGAGAAAAAGATCCCTTTCTTGATAATTAGCTATTGTCACTACCTCCCACCTTCATTTCACAGAAAAACAAAAACAAAACAAAAAAACCTTAACATTACTAAGAAAACCTGCCAGCTTACCTCATTTCTCTTTTGCATGCAAGTATCCTCTCTTTTCATTGGTCCTAAAAAGGGAAGTAAAAGTTGCTCAGAAGTCAGTGACCCAGTTTAGACAAAGACAATTTCAACTCAGATAAAGTTTTGAGTATTAATTAAAAGGAGTAAATCTGTGGACAAACCAAAAAAGCTGATAACTGAATTATCTCCAATTAACATTTTGAAGAGAGTTTTTGGTTATTGAATATGACTGACAGTGTAGGAATCAATATCAATTCAAAGTAATAAATATTCAGTCATAAGAGTCTAAAAAATAGTATATGTTTCCTATTTTGCCCATAGTTCTGAGCTCCTCTCTTCTCTGTATATATCCTCTCAATGTTTATTTTTAACTGATACATCATATCTTCCCTAGGCTGGGGTAAATTTATGAGTTGCTTTAAGTCTTTTGGGTATTCTTTAATAGTATGAGTAGATTAGGAGGGATAGCTATCGTTAAGGACATTATTCATTACAATATACTGTGTTTTTTAGGAGGACACAAGACTACTACCTGATTTTAGTATTATGAATAACTAAATATTTCTTAAGCAATTGGTTTGATTTGATTTGATTCTTATAGATACTAATAATTGGGTCACATATGTCTTTTTTATATAGTCTGCTGAAAAACCTAGAAATAATTTACAGTCTACTGGTAGCAAGTTTGGAGATCTTTTTATGGTAATTTTTATTATCATCTTTCATGGATCTATTTTTATGTCCTTGCTCATTTCTCTTTATTATTTTACACATAACATTTATTTATATTATGTTGCTATAGTATGCAGCATTTTAAATGATTTTCAATCCTTCCTGGAAAAATAGTGGAACAAATAATTTTTTAAGAAGAATGAACTGTGATTTCAACTCCTTTTGTGTTACAACTAGTGAATATTAATTGCTTTAGATAACAGTTTCCAATATCTGGAGAGGAAATAATGGGGAAGATAGCAGAGTAGGTCATAAACTCACCTCATCCCATGGATATAACTAGATAACACTCGCATAAGTGTATATAACCCAGAAAATGATGCAAAGATTGGCAGAAAAAACTCCACAAAAAGTAGAGAAGAGGCTACCTCAAACAGGTAGAAAGGGTGAAGATGTGGTTTGGGAGTGAAATCAACCATGGCAGTCCATGCTCAGGAGAAAGCTGGTGGCACAGAGAAGGGTGAGAAACACACAATCACACTGGGGAGTGTGCATGAGGAAGACAAATCCACAAAATATTTAGCCTTGAAAACAAAAGGGTGAGAGGGGCCAAATTTCATGAATACTGAAGCAGGACTTAAAGCCTAGAACTTTAAAAGTCACCAGGGTTAGCTCTGGATGAGTCTGAAGGGCATCAGGAAGCTGAGTCCCAACTCTTAAAGAGAGAGCACAACAAACAGCCAGGGGGACTAGAGCCTGGAAAGAGAGTTTGAAAAATGCCAGAGGCAGACAGGAAGGAGAGTTATTTACTCATCTAAGTGTGGTCCAAAAAGGCAGGGATCATGGGGACACCCTTCCAGGAACAAAGTAGCTGGCAAATGACATTTACGTTCTCTGCACTTCGGCATAAACCCACAGACACCTGAGAGAACAAGCTCAATGCCAACAATCTCTACCTAATTTACTTACAGCAGGCTCCATGTCCACATGTTTCAGCAGATCTGTCCTTCCCAGTCACTCTTGCCTCAGTCCCAGTGCTGCAGGTTCCTTTCCCCAGAAGACCTGTGTAAACCCCATCAACAACTTGTCTCCCAACCCATGAGCTTTGTGAAAACTCAGTCCTGGTGATAGTGGCAGCAGCAGGTCTCATTTTGCAAACAGACTGGTGCAAACCTTCTTAAAACGTGCTCCACCCGGATGGGGACAAAACACTGCCCACAACAGGCAAAGAAAGGCTCTGCAGACAACTGAACTGAAGGAAAAAGTGACCAGGATTTAACAGGAGGGCATATGCAACATACATAGGCGATACTCCCTGAAGCACCACATCCTGGGGAACAGGGGATACTGCACTGCAGGGAACTACAGGACCCCTTCTTCATAGAGCCATTACCTTCAAGAACAGGAGATTTAGTTGACTTTCTTAACACACAGAAACAGACACAGAGGTTTAGACAAAATGAGGACAGAGGAATATCTCCCAAATGAAACAACAGGACAAAACCACAGCAAGAGACCTAAGTGAAACAGATATAAGTAATAAGTGTGGTAGAAAATTTGAAGTAATGATCATAAACATACTTACTGGACTTGAGAAGAGTGGAGGACATCAGTGAGACCCTGAATAAAGAGATAAAATGAATCAATCACAGATAAAGAACACAATAAATGAAATTAAAAATACACTTGATGGAATAAATAGCAGGCAAGATGAAGCAAAGGAATGAATTAATGACCTGGAAGACAAAGTAATGGAAAATAATCAAGCTGAAAAAAATGAGAGCAAAAAATTATGCAAAATGAGAGGAACTAAGGGAACTCAGTGACTCCAACAAGCATAATAACATTCACATTATAGGCATACCAGAAGAAGAGTAGGAAGAGGGGGCAGAATATTAATTTGAAGAAATAATAGCTAAAGACTTCCCTAATCTGGGATATCCAGTAGGCATAGAGAGTCCCCCCAAAAAATCAAACAAGGAGGCCCACACCAAGAGACATAGCAAAGAAAAAAATTAAAAGCAAGAGAGAAGAAGACAGTTACATATGTGGGGAACCTCATAAGGCTATGAACAGATTTTTCAGCAGAAACTGTGCAGCCCAGAAGAGAGTGGCATGATATATTCAAAGTGCTGAAAGGGAAAAATCTGCAGGCAAGAATATTCTATCCAACAAGGCAATAATTTAGAATAGAAGGGATAAAGAGTTTCTCAAACAAAGAAACTAAAGGAGTTTATGACCACTAAACCATCCCTATAAGAAAAAATAGAGGGAGTTCATGACCACTAAACCAACCCTACAAGAAAAAATAAAGGGGAGTGCCTGGGTGGCTCAGTCGGTTGAGCATCTGACTCTTGATCTCAGCTCAGGTCTTGATCTCACATTGTGAGTTCAACCTCCAGATTGGGCCTCATGTTGGGCATGGAGCCTACTTAAAAAAAGAAATAATAAAAGAGACTCTTTGAGTGGAAAGGAAAGAAAATAAGTGAAACCATGTAAAAAATGTAAAAAAACCCACAAAAACAGTAAAAATAAATATTTCTGTAAAAATCAAGGTAAGAATAAAATAAAATTATATAAAATGTGACACCATATACCTAAAACATGGAGGAGAGTAGAGGAGTAAAGAATGGCTTCAAACTTAAGTGGCCATCAACTTCATATAGATTGCTATATGCAGAAAATGTTATCTACAAACCTAATGG